GCCCAGGAGTTTGAGGTTGCTGTGAGCTAGGCTGACGCCACGGCACTCACTCTAGCCAGGGCAACAGAGTGAGAATCTGTCTCAAAAAAAAAAAGTAAATAAATAAATAAAAGGGTATAGATTTTTAAAATGTGGATTTCTGCAGCATGACCAATAGCATTGATGCTATTGCCTTTCTTTCTAATGTCTAGCTCTTTGGCTAAGTTAAACAACTAGAAATTTGCTCAGTGTCGGAAGCAAAAATGAGTTTTGCCCTCCTATATTGTGTCAGTTTCTGTGGATTCTTAAGTCAAGCTCCAGGGTGATAGGAAATCATGCACAATCTCAAAGAGAATCAGCCTCAGCGATCCCCTGTGCTCTCCTGGAGGAAGAGGGACAGCGTTGAGGGACAGCTCAGGAGAAGGCTCGCGGTCTCCCTCCCTGTGTTTTGTGCATTTACTCCAAGTAGGAGAGTATCGAGGGGGTCAGGCCAAGGGCAGGAGAAGTCAGTGACTCCGGCCCTGTGTTTTCATGCCATTGTATATTTCCTCCCATCTCCTGTCCACAACGCAGATGTGCTCAGCCTAGCTGTCTTCTAGACTAATGCTTCTTAAGCTCTGTCGTACATATGAATCCCCTGGCAACTGGGGAAAATGCAAATTCTGATGCAAGAGGCTTAGGGAGGGGCCGAGCGTCTGCATTTCTTGTGGGCTTCCGATGCTCCCTGTCCATGGACCACGGTGTGAGTAACCAGTCCCTGAAATATCTTCAAGCATTTTTTTTCTGCGTTTCTCAGAGTGTGGTTTTGACTTTGAGCAAGGATGGCAGTACCAGTTAAAAAGAAATCTACTCGTGAAAGAAACCTGAAAGATATGGGCTCTGAGCTGCTGTTGGAAGTTCCCTACATAAAACGGGGGTTGGTAAGAAGGTAGATGTGTTGTGAAGCCATTTCGGTTTGCATCCCACAGGCCTGCAGTACTCTTCGGATAATCAGTTTGTGCAGCGGCTCAAAGAACTGCGGGAGTCTGCTGCCGTGGAGAAGATTCCCTTGATCCCATCCACCCCAGAAGAGATGAGCGAAATGCTCCAGCTCTGCTCGTATGTGCGCTTCAAGGTGCCCCAGCAGGTAACGTGGTCTCAGCAGCGACACACCTGCCCTCCCCCAAGCTCAGGGGGCGAGTACCAGCTTCCTCGTGCGTCCCTCCTTCACCTACTCATTGACTCCTCCTCTTCCTCTTCCGTGCATTCATTCTACAGGTATCTCTACAGTGCCTGGGATGTGTCAGGCACTGTGCTGGGCACAGTCGTGAATGAGTAAGACAGGGAAGGTCCCTGGGCAGACACAGTCCAGTGAGGGAGGTGGACCCGATAGACCTTGTTCCACATTTGGCTAATACTGAATAATGACGTGTTCATCCTGATTGTGTCTTAAGCTAAGCACAGAATTTTCAAGATAAAACAGCTATCAGGCCATCTCAGGTGTATTCTGCATGATGTAGGGGACCTCTGGCTTCATGATATTATCCAAGTTCCTTCCTAATTTAAAGAAAAGTTAGGCTCTTAGGAGCCTAACTCCCAGTTACATCATATGCCACATCATGGGAATCAGAGGACCAGGCCCTAAAAACCTTGACAATGCAATAAGTTGCTGGACTTTATTCCCCTTCACTGACCCACAGCTGTAAGAGGCCAAGGAAATGAGCCTGCTCCACCTTCTAACTTTGGGTTTTCTATCCCTAGATCCTGCAAGGCCTGGTCGATGTCCGCATCCCCCATAACAACTTCTACCGAAAGCGTAAGTAGCCCTGCTTTACTTTGGAGCTTGTCACAAGCAAAGCCTTACAGCTGGCTGGCTTTTCTTTCTTAAATCTCTGACACTTTGAGTGTTTTCTTGGGCCCCCGAAGAGAGAAAGTGGTAGCCTGGACTCGGCGACTGTCCCTGGACCCTACGGTGGTGTCCACGCTCACTTTGTTTTCCTTTTCTGGCAAGTGTTTTTGGAAATCGTCAATGAGAAGTCCAGATACTCTCTCCATCAGAACATGGACAAGATCAAGGTCCCAACGCAGATCATCTGGGGAAAACAAGACCAGGTATGTAGCACGTCCCTGTGGCTATCTGCACCCGTCACCACAGCCTTTGAGAAAAAACGCCCTTGGGGAAGAGCCAGAGGGTGTTCCCGGAGTGAGCCTCCCTTGCTGTGTCGGGTGCCAGTGTTTACAGTGAACATAGTTCTGTGAGTTGAGAGCCACATCTGGTCTGTTGAAATGAAAGGCAATTTTAAATCATTGTTTAAATTTATTTTTATCAAAGCCATATAGTCACATGATATAAAAAACTTCAGAGAGTACCAGGTATAATTAGTTAAGACGAGGTCACACTGGAGCAGAGTGGGCCACTAATTCAACACGACTGCATCCTTATAAAAAGGGGAAATTTAGACACAGAGACAGACACACAGGGAGAGTACCAGGTAAAGATGAACTTTTTAATGAAAACTTGGTCTCTTTGACATCCCAAATGCCAACTCCCATTTCCCTGAAGGCATCTCTTACTGTTTTGTGTCTGTTTCTTAAATGTTTTAAGCCAGAGTTTGGCAAATGTTTTCCGTCAACAGTCAGAGCTTAATATTTTCAGCTTTGGGATCCAGTCTCTGTCTCAGCTACTCAGCTCTGACCTTGCAGTGCAAAAGCAGCCTAGACAATATGTAAACAGATGGCGTGGCTGTACTCTAGTGAACCTTTGTTTACAAAAACAAGCAACGAGCCATCGTTGCCTCCTCCTATTCTAAGCATACATTTACTGTTTATATTTACCTATATAAGCTTTTCAGACATGCTGTATATGCTGTTTGGCACCTTACTTCATATACATATGAAATAATGGATGTGAAGTGTATATATCTTGGAAATCATTTTCTATCAGCCCATACAGAGCTACTCATTCTATTTTTTAAAATATTTTATTTTGAAATAATTTCAAACTTACAGAAAATTTTTAAGAAGAGTACAGAGTACCCCTGTATACACTTTACCTAAATTCATCAACCTTAAACTGCTTTATTGAGGTATAATTCACATCAAATCCACCCGGGGTGTACCATCACCACAACCCAGTTGTAGAACACTTCTAGCACCCCCAAAATTTCCCTCCTGCCCATTTGCAGTTGATCTCCACTCCCACCTCAGCCCCACACAACCACTGATTTGTCTTCTGTTTCTATAGTTTTGCCATTTCTAGAAATTTCATATAAACAGTACCATAGATTAATAGCATGTAGTCTTTTGCATCTGGCTTCTTTCCCTCAAGCATAACATTTTTGAGGTTCATCTCTGTTGCACATGTCAGTGGTTCGTTCCAGTTCACCACTGAGTGTTAGTCCATGGTAGGTATGGACCACATCTTATTTATTAGCAATTTTTTTTAACACTTACCATGTTGGCTTTCTCATTCTCATTTATATATCTAGAACTATGTATTTTTGGACCATTTGGAGTAGGTTGCTTACATCATGCCCCTCTACCCTCCAGGACCACCACGTACATTTAGTCCAAACAAGAGTATTCTCTCACATAGCCACAGCACCACGTGGCATGGTGGAAATTTAACATCCATGCAGTACTTTTACCTAATCTATAGTCCGTGTTCCAACTTCATCATTTGTTTTTATTTGTTTGTTTGTTTGTTTTTTGAGACAGTTTCTCTCTGTCCCCTGGGCTAGAGTGCCATGGCATCAGCCAATCTAACAGCAACTTCGGACTCCTGGGCTCAAGCAATCCTCCGGCCTCAGCCTCCCGAGTAGCTGGGACTACAGGCACAGACCACCATGCCCAGCTGATTTGTTTTCTATTTTTAGTTGCATGGCTAATTTTTTCTATTTTTAGTAAAGACAGGCTCGCTCTTGCTCAGGCTGGTCTTGAACTCCTGAGCTCAAGCAATCCTCCCGCCTCAGCCTCCCAGAGAGCTAGGATTACAGGCATGAGCCACTGCGCCCGGCCCCAACTTCACCGTTTGTTTCAGTAATGTACTAGGTAGCGTCCTCCTCCCCCTCTTGCCATGCTGCTGACCCAGGGGCCAGTCCAAGATCACATATTAGATGTCATGTCTCTTTAGTCTCCTTTTAGGAAACAATTCCTCTCTCTGATTAGTCATTCGTGACGTCGAGGTATTTGAAGAGTACAGGTCAGTTATTTTATCAAATGCTCTTCAACTTGAGTTTGTCTGCTGCTTGCTCATGATGCAGTTCAGGTGCTATATTCCTGGCCAGAATATCTCATGAGTAATGATTAGGCATCACGTCTTAAGAGGCACAATGTCTGTCTGCCCTTCACTGGTGATGTTAATTGTGATCCCTTTTGGGGTGTCGTCTGTTGCTTATTTGTGGAGTTACCATTATAGTAAGCAGTCTGTGGAGAGACACTTTGAGACCACGCAGTTATCCTGCTCCTCATCAAACACCCCTCTTCGAATGTTCCACCTATGATGATTCTTGCCTGAAACAATCGTTTACTTTGTTCTTTTTAAGAGCTGTATTCTGTTATATGGTTCTGCCACAATTTATTTAATTAGTGCCCTACTGATGGTCATTTAGGTGTCTTCCAGTTACTTGCTGAACAGTACCTCAGTACACATCATGTGTGTATGTTTGTGGAGTGTGCGAGCATATCTAAAGGGTAAATTCCTAGCTGTCGAATCAACGGATCAAAGGGCATGTGCACTTAAAATTTAATTGGTTTTGTCAGGTGGTCCTGTATGAGTTTTCTCGGGCCGCTGTAACAAAGTACCACAAACTGGGTACTGAAATTTATTGTCTCACGGTTCTGGAGGCTGGAAGTCCAAGATCAAGGCATGGGTAGGGCTGGTTCCTTCTGAGGCTGTAGGAGAATCTGTTCCATGCCTCTCCCCTCACCTCTGTTGGTTTGCCGGCAATCTTTGGTGCTCCTTGGCTTATAGATAGATGCAGCACTCTGATCTCTGCTTTCATCTTTACCTGGTACTCTCCCTGTGTGTCTGTCTCTGTGTCTAAATTTCCCCTTTTTATAAGGATGCCGTCGTATTGGATTAGGGGCCCACCCTGCTCCAGTGTGACCTCGTCTTAACTAATTACACCTGTAGTGTTCCTATTTCCAAATAAGGCCATGCTGTGACATACTGGGGGTTAGCACTTCAACATATAGGTTTGGGGGACACAATTCAACAGGCCTTCCAAAGATATACTGATTTACACCCCCAAAAGCTCCTTTTTTGTTTATAACTGTGGTTTAGAAATCATATGTTGCTGAAGTTTATGAACTTCTTAATGAAATTCTTCATAAACTTAAAAGCAAAAGGAGGCACTAAAAACGGAGCCTTTATAAGGCTCACAAGATAAACAGAATGACAATGTCTGTTAAAGGGTGTCCAGGAGTCTTGTGCTATTAATTATTGTGAGAAAAGAAAATTAGAGAAAAGCTTTCCCCATTGGGACAGTTCCTCTAAGGACCCTACGGTGAAGGCCACCATTGTGTGTCCTGCCAGGGTTGCTGCAAGCAAAGGCAGGAAGTCAGGCTGTGGCCACAGAGGCCCACAGGTGAGTGGAGGGCCCAGGCAGGAGGCCTGGGGAGGAGAAGCCGGCATGTGCCCAGGGTATGTGGGGAGGTGGGGTGATGGTGTCTCAGACCAGCCAGGTGTGGCCAAGGATACGTGGCACAGAAACGTGGACATGGACAGCAGGGGTCTCGTGGGCTCCCTTCTGCAGCAGCCCAGAGACTGTTAATAAAAGAAGCTTGTGTGTGCCCGAGTTCCAGGCTAAGCCAGAGGGAGTCATTTGATCAAAACCCACAGCCAGAACAATGAAGGCCTTTCACCATTCTGAAATCCCCAGAGGCGGCTGGGCCCCTCAGGGACCAACAGGGAGAGGCCACATCCCGTCCTTCCGCGGGGACAGTGCAGAGTGAGAGCACTGCCGTAGAGTCTGAAAGTCCATGTTCCAGCCCTGCCTCTACCCTTTAGCAGCCTGTGGCCTTGAGCAGTCACTCAGCCCCTCTAAATCAAGGGTTTCTCTTCTGCTGTGGGGGTTGCTGTAGGGCTCACGTGAGATAATATATGTGAAATTGATCTTCCTCCAGTTATAAAAAAATAGGTGATTAGATTATCTAATATTAGGTTACTTTGCACATGTCTTTTGCCTCTGATAGCTGGCCTCAGCCCATGGTCTAGAATTTTCTTCCAGACTCTGAAGTCCATTTTGTTCCAGGAAAAGAACATAATATTCTATGGGGTACTATAAATATGATTAGATCCTTTTTATGTTTTGTGGACTGTCCCTGGGGCAGAGGCCAAGCAGCAGAATCCTTTATTTGATGGCCTCTGGCTTCCCAAGCTCTCTGGCTCTTTTTCTGCTCTGTCATCCACATTTGGTATCACAGTGCCCACCTCTGCCAGGCTGAATTCAGCCTCCTCCTTCTTTCAACCCCTGTAGGCAGGCTGCTGTACTGCACAGCCACAAGGGGAGCCCTATGCATTGTTATCTATGTGCATGATAGCCCCTGGATTTGGGCAGTATACAACCTGCACAACTGAACTGGCAACCCTTCCTGAGAGGGTTTCTGCATATCAGTTCATGCATCTCTCCTCTATGTTCAGTCCACCAGAGTGGGAGGGCCTTGTGGAGGTAGATAAGGTCCATTACTCTTTATGTCCCTTCCCCTTGCCAGCACAGTGCCTGGTATGCAGGAGACCCATAGTATGCAGTGAGTAAGCAACAAGAAAGTGAATGAACAAACCAACCAGTGAAAGGACAAACCCCACTGATGCCTACACATTTAAGTCCGTTAACAGGTATTTATTGAGCACCTGGTATGTGCCTGAAGGTGTATTAGGCCCTAAGGATACAGTAGGGACCAAGACATCCAGGATCTCATCCCTCCAGCACCCTGCAGTGCACTGCAGGGCTGGCACTAGGGGAAGGTGGGAGAGATGTATCATGGAAGTGCAGGGTCGGATCCTATTTGTGTTTATAATTTTGATATTTTTTACATCATGCATCTTTTTGCCTTAATGTTTATTTTTTTTTAAATACTGCATTAAAATATTTTTCATCTTGATTGCTGAGTTTTTTGGTGCCCACTTAAATTCTGTGCCCCAGGTAAGTGTCTCACTTGCCTCACCCTCATCCTGGCTGTTGCCTGGAATGGGATGCAACAAGAGTTTTTGACCATTTATATGAATATCCTGTCCAAGAAATAGCTGATGTGGTTCCCACAGACATGCGTGTCTCATCAGGGCACATTCAGCGGTTTCACATGCCTCTGGGTGCCCACGGGGAATGCTGGATTTGTAGTGCTGACCAGCACAACAGTGCCAAAGCTAGAAGCTCACGTGGGTGTTTTTGCCTATGAGCTATGGTTTCTGATCTCTCTGCAGGATATACTCAGCTGGGAGTTTCTGCTTTATCATGCTTTTTCCACCTGTTGATGCCATCTGCGTTTCCTCTGGGAGTGTTCCCCGGTAGCTGGGCTTTCTTCCTGCTCAGACAGTTGCCATAGCAGCCTTGCCTGGTAATGAGTGACAGGCAGATATTTCCAATTCCTCAGCTGGGTGCTCCCCTCTTGCTAAGCTCCCCATTAGCTCTTCCCTTTCTGGCCCAGGCGTGCCCTGCAGTGCTCCGTTCCTTGGCTGAGACATTCTGCTCACCCAGCTTCCAAGTGGGCGAAAAATCTTGGATTTAATGATCTGTGTTGATGAGAATAAAGGTCAAAAACAGAAGGTGCTTGAGCGTATTAGGGTTTTTGCTTTTGCCATTAAGGTTGGAGAGGGGCCCTCTTGTCTGGGATGAGTTGAAGGTAAAAGCAATTCAGAGAAGGGGAGTGGGTGCAAATTTACCCCTGAGGGAGGATATTGGGAAAAGATGAAGCTGGGTTAGCATTAGAGCCGGTGATCCAGACGAAAATGAAAGTAAATGAGTCGTTTGAAAAGTGGTAGCCCTGGAAAAGTGCTGGCTTCCATGTTGTAAAACCATTCTTTGTTATCCACAAACTTCAGGGCCAGGTCACACAGCTCTGGGGATCCCCAAAGGACCTTCGAAGAGCTACCCACCCTCCAGCTTGTGATTAGTGTTCACCTCTCACATCTTCCTCGTGTGCCCTTCCCACAGCTTGGGCTGCCCTACCGCAGCCGTAGGGCCAGCTCTGTCCTAAACACAGCGCATGCTCCCCGCGTCCCAACGTGGCTGGGGTAGCAGCCCCTCCTCGCTGCTCCTTCTCTCCACCTGCCGCTCCCCACTGCCTACGTGCTGCGTCTCAGCCAGCGAGCTCCTTGCTGTCCCCTGCACTTGCCATGACCTCCCAACTCATGCTGTTCCCTCTTCCATGAATACTCCTTCCCCGTCCCCTCTCTGCTCTCCCAGGACTCAGGAACGACGTCTTCCTTCCCCACTGCACTCTCTCAGCTCCCAGGATCCTCCCCCAGGAGAGCCCTTGTCACACTGTGTTGCATTTGTCTCTTGACCTGTCTGGCTTTGCCCCCAGACCATAACCTCCTCAAGGGCAGGGAACATGCGTTTTCCACCTCAGTGTCGCTAGCGGAGAGCCATGAGCCCCAACAACAATATGACTTGGTCCTAAAATTCACCATCCCCCACCCACTCCAGCCCTGCCCCCTGTCCTTAGTGGACGTCTGTCCACGGAGTGCGCACGTCGGTGTCTGAATCTTTGTGTGTCATCTCGCTCTCTCTCTTGCCCGACAGGTGCTCGATGTGTCTGGGGCGGACATGTTGGCCAAGTCAATTGCTAACTGCCAGGTGGAACTTCTGGAAAACTGTGGGCACTCAGTGGTGATGGAGAGACCCAGGAAGACAGCCAAGCTCATTGTCGACTTCTTAGCTTCTGTGCCCAGCACAGACAACAATAAGAAGCTGGACTGAGGTGCCGACTGCAGCCTGCATTCCGCACGCGGCATCCGCTCCCATCCCCAAATGCGACGCGGCCACCACACTCTCAGGGATCCTGCCCCAAATGCGGTCAGAGCGCCAGCGTCCCTGAGGAAGCCAGTCCCCTCTCCCTGGTATCCACAGTTCCACCGAGCTTCGGGGGCCACAAGAAAATCTCCAAGATCTTTTTTCACAAAATGGAAATTCATAGGGAACAAAATAAGAAAACCCAGCCACGAAATCTACTGAGAAGTCTTCAAGTTCGTGTCGTTGACAAGCTTGTGCAAAACAGCCACCTTGGACCATAATCATTGAGGACACTTTCTTTGCATAGACTGAGACTGGTATTTTTGTTGCTTCAGATCTATTCCCTTGCATGGTCAGTGGCTTTTATAGAAGCATTAGTCCCCATGCGCTGAACCCTGTTGTGTAGGTCTAATTTAAGTTTTACATAGAGACCCCTGTATGAATGTAGCCCGTCAGCTGCAAGACCAGGGAGGGAAATGGCAAGCTGTAGGATACGTACACACGTGGAGGGGCATTGTCCCGCCTGGCCAGCCCGTGGAACTGCGGGAGCAGCAGAGCTCACGGGCAGGTGGTTTGTTGGGCACCCACAGGTCGGGTATGTCGTGAGTGAACTCAGAACAGTCACAGAATGAAGAACACCTGGCAGGGTGGGTTTCCTAGGAATAATTTATTATTTTTGAAAATAGGACTAATAAAGCAATAAAGTTCTAGACATATATCTAAATAATCAGACTCAGGTTCCACACACAAGCAACACCCCGTGGGCCTCTTTTCTATTCTGCTGTGCCACTGAAACCCTTGGATAAAATACCCGTTTGTTAATGAATTCCGTGAATTCTGTGAACAGTAATTGAAAATAAGTCTAAACAGCTGTAAAAATGACCACAATGACATGAAATAAATTTAGTAAGTCTAGATCAGCAACATGCAGGTGGTTTCTATTTCTGAGCTCCTAATTAAATGCAATGTTGGCAGATTTCCTCTTAACTTTAAAACGTGTTTTTTAAAGTAAGGCTTGTTCTGCAGGCTTTGGAAGTCTTTGCAGAGATGATTTATTAGTTTCATTTTAAGAAATCACGTTTGTAGTTTTTATTCAATTAAAGTTGTATATCAGAAACAAAAGGCAGGAGTCATCAAACTGTCCCTTTTGATTCTCTTCTGTTGGCATTTAGGAGCCCAAATTCCTCAGGAGCTTTATTCTTTTAGATCTTTTTGCAGAGAGTCTATAGCCAAGCAGTTCTGGGAATAAAGTGAGATGAACTTTACAGTTTTAAGTTGGAATTCAGGACTTGGTTTGAATGTTTTTAATCTATCCGAGAAGAATGGAATATAGATCGTAAAAATAAGAAGATATGAAAATGTGACGTCAAACTTGTGGGATGCAGCGAAAGCAGTGCTCAGAAAGAAATGTATGGGCCAAATTCATTTGGTGGAAAAGAAGAAAGGCTGAAAATTAATAAATTAAGCTTCTATCTCAAGAAGCTAAAAATGAGTAGTAAATCAAAACCAGAGAAAAGTAAAGTAATACAGATGAAAACAAAATCAATGAAATAGAAAAGAAAGTAGATACTAGACATTTCACTTGTTCCAATTTCCTATGTTTACCAAGAATTCTGAGCTTAGTGGGAATGGGGTTGGGGGGGTCAGTCTTGGTGGGTCTGGGTGGTGAGAGATGGTTTTCCTGGGATTGCTGAAGAAGCACAGGCCTGGGACAAGTACCTCAGATCAGAAACCCTACTGGACACAGGAATTCTTATGCTCTGGGTTGAATACCAGCTAAGGATCAAATCAAAAGGAGCTCCTGCGCCGTGCCCACGGTGGGGTCATTTAGGCAGGGCATGTGCTGTCCCTCCCAGCCCAGAAGGACAGTGGGCAGGTTCTGCAGCAGGTCACAGCTCCCACCTCTGCTGTCACCAGAAAGCACTGACTAGATGTCATGAACAGAATAGGAAAGAGTCGTTTTTGAAGAACCTATAAAGTGGGTTTTCAGGTTCCCCCTTAGCCCTGCAATTCTGACCCCAGTGTGATAGGAAGACCCTTGCATCCCACTTCCTGCCTTTGGGATTATAACAGGCCTGCTGGTGATTGCCAGCTCCATGTGGCCCTGTGGTGTGTGCCTTTGGTGACAGTCCAAAGAAGAAAGGGGCCATTCATCACAGCACTCCCTGCAAGACTGCCAGAAACTACTGACGTCACAGCGGAAAGCCCCAGGAATCAGCTGGGCTCTTGATCCTACTGGCTGGAGGTGGCAGCTTCAGGCTGCTGTGGATGGACCCTCCTGGTCAGGTGTTGAAGAGGCTGAGGGAGAAGCAGTGGTTTGAACTCGGTTTGTAATCAGTCTGGGCTCCTTGTCCAGGACAGAGGTGACACCAGGAGTGGATGTAACAGATGGGTCAGTTTGACGGTACTGCCTGTGTGTGCAGGTCTGTACCTTCCCTCTGAGCCCTGCTGAGTATTCGCCATCCCAGAGACCTGATTTGTTGCTTTGCCCAGAGGAAGTTTTCAGAAACTACTAGGGGACTAGAATGTATGTCAGGCCTGGCCTGAGGCCTGAATCTAACTATGTGCTGAGGGCTATTCTAAGTGTTTTTCATGCATCACCTTAGGAAGCTCTCATGCAGTCCTAAGTACCACACTGTGCCCATTTTACAGCAAAGGTATGGAGAGGTGACATCTCTTGCCCAAGGACACACAGCTGGCAAGTAGAAGGAAGCTTCTTGGTTTATAATTGAAGGTGACTTGCAAAAACGATGCTTTTACCTGTTCAGGCAGGAGCTCTCCCACCCACCTTACCAGTCAGCTTGCTTGGGCCCTGTTGGCTCACCTGGGACCAGGCCAGTGTGTGGCAGCTTCAGCCACAGATCGCTGAGGCCACACCTCCTGGCTTGGGCCCCTGTGGAGGAGGGTGACTCAGTGGTTGATTCTTCATAGTTAAGGGCCTCCCATTGCCCAGCCTCTTGCTGGGCAGGAAACAGAACTCACCTGGATTCCAACATCATTCTGCTAAGGCACATCCAGGGACAGCTTGCCCCCCTCATTCCAGCCTCTTTAATAACCAGGACTGGTGCCTCACCCACGCTGGAAGGGCTCGTTCACCTTGCTGGTACCCTGCCTGCTCCCCCACATTCTGGAAGTGATGGTGTTGAGTTTGTCCAAAGCAATACCCTGCTTTGGGAGAAGTCTCACTGCCTCTCTGGGGTCAGGCGTGGAAGGCAGTCACGAGATGTGACCCGCTGCTGGCTGCCACTTCAGAGCCAGCCCTGAGGCTCTGCTGGGGTCAGCCCAGGCACCCTTTGAGGGATTGCTTACTGGCCAGGGGCTTTCCCTGCCTGCAGACAAATTTTGGGTTTTAATTATATGTAAGTGCTGAATTTAGGCCCCTTTACTTACTTTGCAAGTCCTGGATATGGATCTCAGGGTCATGAGTTGGTGAGTTAATTAACATCGCTCTAAAATGATGGATGCAGGTTTTAACGTCTGCAGGTACCAGCTTTCTGCTTTGGGGGACTTCCATGTACTAGACTGAGAAATCTATTATTAAAAATGGCAATTCAGGGCCGGGCGCGGTGGCTCACGCCTGTAATCCTAGCACTCTGGGATGCCGAGGCGGGCGGATTGTTTGAGCTCAGGAGTTCGAGACCAGCCTGAGCTCTCTACCAAAAATAGATAGAAATTAATTGGACAGCTAAAAATATATAGAAAAAATTAGCCGGGCATGGTGGCGCATGCCTGTAGTCCCAGCTACTTGGGAGGCTGAGGCAGAAGGATCACTTGAGCCCAGGAGTTTGAGGTTGCTGTGAGCTAGGCTGATCCGTGGCACTCACTCTAGCCCGGGCAACAAAGTGAGACTCTTGTCTCGAAAAAAAAAAAAAAAATGGCAATTCAGTGGGAAATGTGTTTGTCGAAATACTCTTTGTCTAGATTTGGATTTTTTTTTTTAAGCTTTCTTGGTTGGAGTCATTCTGTCCTTTTCCTTCCCTGCCCCCCGCCCCGGCCCCTCTCTGTTTCATCACTTTGTCTGTCTCCCGTCTGCACGTCTGCCTCTCCGCGCCTGTCACCCACGCACAGGCACACACAGACACGCTCTCCCAGCTGCCGGAAGCCTGGCTCTTCTGAGTCATCACTTTTTCTCTCTCCCAACATTACTCCTTTAACCAAACACTGGGCTTTCTCATCAGCCATTTTCCCCTCCTCAACTCCCAAATTAGGTGCTGTTCTTACAACCCCTCCATTTCCTGAAAGAAGGCAAAAAAGTAGAAGGGGTGGTGGTCACAGATAGGTTGTTCTCAAATTACCTGCCAGGTCACAACCAGAGGGCAAAGGTCCTGGGGCTGCTGTTCCGTTTCCTCAGCTGCCCCAGGCTCTGGGGCTGAGTCTCACTGCTCTCTGGGCTGGTAACAAGCAGGGTGTGGGCTTGGGGCTGCCTGTGCCTGGGGTGGGACGAGAGTCTTGAGTGACCATCGTTGGCCTAGTCTGAGAGAGGGAAAGGACGTCGGACTGCTCGGCGCTCCTTTCGGCAATAGGACAGTCCCTCTCCCTTGGCTCCTGGAGGAACCTTCCCTTCATTGGTTCCTGGATCTTTGGTCTTTAAATCCTCAGGGCAATGAACAGGAACATTAGGCCACACCCAGGAGGCCAGGAGCTCCAAGAATGAAGGATTATTAGGGGCAGTAAGTGGCACTAAGGTGACAATCCCAATGACCCAAGGCCAAAGTTGGCTGGAGGGCAGGTTGCTTTCACTGAAGGACAACGTGTGGAAAGGCGGCTGCCAAGGCACTGGTGTGAGCACAGGTCCACAATCCCTCGTCAAAGCTCCGGGGCCAGACGTCATTCGAATTCAGAACTGTTCCGTTCTAGAAAGTTACCTAGGTGTGTCCTGTATCTCACGCAGCACCCTCAGTGGGGTTGGGGACCACCACGCATGATCAAATAAATGCATTCATGTTTCTTCCGTGCAACAAGGGTCGTCCACAGTAAATGGGAAAAAAGCTATGAACAGGCTCACCTTAGTTCAGATTAAGCATCGGTGCCAGATGAAGAGATCTGGGCTCAAGATTGTTTTCAAGTTTCAGGATTGCAGACATGGGGTGGGAGCCTGCGCTCCGGGTCCCGCTGTCCTACTCAGGGGCGGGCTGTGTCCTGAGGAAGAGTCTGTTCTTCCGATGCTCAAGGAGCCGAGGGTGTGGCCCACAGTTCCCTCCTGTGCTGACTAGAAGCAGCAGGTCCTGATTTTTATTTGATAATTATTAGTGTTACAAAAATGATGGTCACTTAAAAATAAATCGAACAAAAAGAATGCTAAAAAAAAAAAGTGAGAGTCTCCTACACCCTCCACACAGCCCCGCCGTTCCCCCACCAGTCCACTGGGATTCCCGTGCATTTGCACAGGTACGTAGACACATACGTATGCACAAACAGAGAGGACCCTCAGGTTGGTTTTGTGGATTTTTTTTACATAAATGGAGTCACACTGGATGTTACTGTTGGCCAACCCTTGCCCTTCTCTTTTCACTCACCTCTATGTCTTTGGGCTCTTCTAGGTCCAAACCCACAGATCTCCCAGTTTCCTATAAGGGGGTACAGAATCCTCCAGAGGAAGTTGGAGGGGGAAGGTGCGAACCTTGGTAGGGACCCCTCTGAACCCTTAGGAGAGGAGCTCTGAATTTCAAGAAAGGATTTCAGGCACCTCCAGAAACAGGCTGCTTAATTAGAAGGTGGTTATCCCTTCCCCAATTCTCCCTTCCTGGGGTACTGGAGGCTTTTTTTTTTAGGGGGGGAAAGGTTTCTAAGATCACTTTTAAGGAAGGTTTCCTCCATCGTTTAAATACATTTCAGAAATGCTGGATGAGACAAACAGCTTGGCTGCAGCTCCAGCCCCCAGACAAGCAGTGGAGTGGCTGAAGGAGCAGAGACATCCTCCCACAGCAGCTGGGAGAGGGGTGGGTACTGAGGCAGGGGACAGGCCATCTTGCTGCTCTCTAGGTGGTGAGAGTGGTTTGGACTTGACATCTAGGTAGGAGCCTCTAGTCATTGTCAGGTGAGCTGACCCAGAGTTCCTGCCTGCACTGGGCACTGCTCACGTCCTTCCCGGCCCCCTGTTCTGACTGCTGCACCCACCCCCCCGCCTGCTGTGAGAGTTGGCCACTGATGGCTTACAGAGAACTACCCTCGAATGACTGTGGTTGCCTGAGAGGCTAGACCTCATTCTCCTCTCACCTCCTAGGGTTGCCAGATAAAATACAGGAAGCCCAGTTAAATTTTAACTTCAGATAAACAATGAGTACTCTTTTAGTATAAGGATGTCCCATTCATTGTTTATCTGAAACTCAAATTTAACTGGACACCCTGTATTTTTATCCACTAAATTTGGCAACCCTATAGCTTGCAGCCAGTGACTGAGGAGTCCTTGTCTCAAAGACTGGAAGCCTCCTGGTGTCATTTATGTTCCAGGACTCCCCGTGGGATTCCACTGACACCCTCAGCTGAACCCACATCTTTGCTTGGCTTCTACCCCTGCCCTAGCCTGCTTTCCTCTCCCCTTACAGGTTTCACTTGAGAGCTGTCGCCCAATAAATCACTTCCACGAGGGTCCTGGTCTCAGGCTTGGCTTCCAGGCACTCTAAAGCCTGCTTTGCAGAGTTTCTCGTTTGGAGATGATGCTCAGAGTTGCTCCAAGGGAGCCGCTCCCAGCCTCATCTTGCAGGAGGGAGGGATGGAATACAGCTTCTTAGGCTCTGGAGCCTCTCACCACCTTAGACAAATGACTTAACTGCTTGGAGCTTCACTTTCTTCATTGGTGAGAGGTGGTGATAGTAGTCACATTGTGTGGTTGATGGGAGAATGCCAGCTATCTGACACTTGGCAGGTTTCCCTAAGTGGAAACAACAGCTGCCATTCCAAAGCTTTTAACCTGTGATCATTTTCACTTCTTTCGTCCTACTTTCACAACCTGCTGACATAGGAGGATGCGATTTCCATTCAATGGAGAATTGTGGGTCTGGGATCCCACTTGGGCCTATCTTTTGCCTTTTCTTCGCCAAGTTGAGAAAATTCCTCAACTTCAGCAAAATCCATTTTGCACCAGGAAGCAAGGAAGGGAGGGGAGCCACAGAGCAGAGAAGTGTGGACTTAACTCTTTCTTGCCTGCCAGACCTTTTAGGAACATAAAATACTCACAGACCTGCCCAATAACTTCGCTTGGAAACACAGAGACACAGAGGGTGTCCTGAATGGTCTCCTCAAGAACCAACTGACTCCACTCAATGCAGTGCAGGGCAACTTTTGTAAAGACTGAGGCAGGCTTGTGTGTGCCGATTTGGAGTGATGTTTGGATGTATCATCAAGAGGCAAAAGCCCACATCTCGTATTTCTGGGAGGACACTTAGGAAACTCATACCAGTGGTTGCCTCTGGAGAGGGGAGAGGCAGGCTGGGGAGGGTGACTCACTTTTCCTGCTTTATTCCTTTATATTGCTTGAAATGTATGCCATAAGCCTATGGGACCTATTCAAAAAATAAAATTTTGTTGAAAAACAAAAGTCAACCAACTAGGTACTTACCATTCAAAGGCATTTTTTATCTTCAGCTTTGGATTAATAAGACAGCACTGAGAGAATTCTGGCAACTGGGAAGACACTTCCTTTTCAGGGTTTGGTGCAGGAGGAGAGTGAAAATTACCCAAAAGTTCTTTGAAGTCCAAAATGCAGGAGCTGCTAGAACTTGAGGATAGGTGGTCAAAAACGAACAAACAAAACACCCAAATGCATGAGCTGCACTGGTTTTCCTGGGCCACAGCCTGGCAGAATGGGTTTGCCAGGCAGCTGGCTTAGTGTTTTCTGGGTGCCACACACTTTATACCTTCAACTGTTTTTTTTCCTCTGTGAGGTAGATGCTAATAATCTCCAGGTGAAAAAGGAGGGAGCTGGATAAGTGGCAAACGGTGGATTCGAAGTAAGTTCTGACAGCTTCTGAACTCAAGCTTTTTTTGAGAAAGAAAATGCCACTGTCTGCAGGGTCTGTGTTGATTTCCTCCACTTCTTCCCCCATCTGGGACAAGTCCTGTCTCTTCTGAGGGAAGAAGAAAGGGAAGCAGGAGGAGCCACAGGACTGGAAAGCGTGGTCAAGGCCAAGGACTGAAGCTTCCGGAAACAGCAGACAATGAGATTTTGAGAAAGGAAATGAGGGAGGAGGTACCGGCTGACCCAGGCTCAGACTTCGCTGTGCAAGTCAACCCTTTGTCCCCCAACCCAAGCAGAATAAGCATATCCATTTATGAACCAATGCATTCAGTAAGTAGGTGTTGAGTGCATACCGGTGCCTGGGCCCTGGAATGCAGTGGTGAATCAACACTGGCAAGCTGCACCTTCATGGGGCTTACGCTTGAGGTTCTCTTCCCCGGCCAGCCTTTCAGCGGTAGCAATATGGTGCAGTGTGGAAAGCAGTGGCTAGAATCAGACAGCCCATTCCACCACTTATAACTGTGTGATCCTGGGCAAATAACTTAGCCTCTCTGTGCTTCAGATTCCACCTCTATAAAATGGGGATGATCGTAATAATAGCTACCTCATGGTTGTTTGATAGTTCCATGAGATAAAATGTAAAATTTTTGCACAGTGCTTGGCACAAAGTAAGCACTTGATAAATATTAGCTGCCATTATTATTGTTAAATATTCACACTATATGTTTCTTGAGTACAGGGGACACACCTTGTTCTCAACTGAGTTCCCAGCACCTAGAATAGTGCCTAGCACATAAAAAGTGCTCAACAAATACTTAGTGAATGTATGTATAGACAAAACTTGGCTTACATTTGAAACAGGACCAGCTGGGCCTTTTCATGTCAACTCAGATAGAACACCTACTATGTGCTGGGAGCCACAAGGGACATTGAGAGTGGGTCCTGCCCCTGGGAAATGCCTCATATGGGAGATATTCAGAAGAGGAGATGCTAGATATAAATGTGTTGAATGAATGCATGCATGAAGAAGTGAATGACTCTCTAAGGCCGAATAAACACGCCCTAACCTGCACCCTACGCAATTACACACACGGCTTTTCTGGAGTGGGCACCAGAGGGCGCTGAGCTCGGCCGGTTTCAGTTCCTGATCAGGATTCACTCCTGGGTTTTTATGAGGACGCCGCGCGGTGACGTTATATCCGCCTGGACGTCACGCCGCGGGAGGTGGGGGGGGGGAAAAACAGGAGGAAGCCAAACGTAAATACACCGGGAGTTTCCCGGACTCCGGGCTCTAGCCACTGCGGGGGAGCTTCAAACCTTGGCGGATCCTTGCCGCGAACAGGAGTCAGAGGAGGCGTCAGACTGTCCGACAGAGAGCAGGTAGGCGGAAGCCCAGAGGAGAGCGGCCACTTTCCGGGAGCGGTCTCAGTCGGCCGCGCTGGTGTCCCTGGGCACGCATGCGCAAGGTGGGAGCGCAGGGGCGGATGGTGTGGAGCGGCCTGGGTTATCTCTCCGCCGCGGCCGAGGACGCCGCGGACCTACGCGGTGTACGGTCTCGGTCGCAGAGGGTGGCAGCGAGGACTGCTCGGGACTACGGGACCGTGTACTGAGCGCGCTGCATGCGCCAGGCGCGAGGTGGGCGAAAGTCAGTGGCGGCCGTTAGTCGAAAAAAGTTGACAACAACCCGAGTGCCCAACAGTAGGGGATTGAGCTTTCTAAATTATTGATTTAGCTCAACAATTGTATATTGAACGCATTTCTGTGTGCGACGCTCTGTTTTGGGTCCTTGGGAAACTACAGAGAACCAGACAGACCCCTGTCTCGTAGAGTGGACATCCTATTGGGGTGGGGGAGGGAAGTACAGGTAAACAATGAATGACATAGTTGTGTTAGAAGGTGGCAAATGCTTTGAGAAAAAAAGAGTAGGGAACCTGGAGCCGACACCCAGAGACGGGAACGAGACTGGCCTGCGAAAAAGAGCTAGGAGACCTGCGTGGTCGAGGGGGATTGAGCACAGAGAGAATAGCATGAGTGCGGTCAGCTGTGAGGAGAGCAGCGGTGCAGATCAGGTAGAGCCTTGCAGGCTGCTGTCACGACTTTGGCCTTACTTTGGGTAAAACGGGAACCACTGCAAGGTTTTGAGTAGAGAAATTAAGCAGTTTGAGTAGATTTTAATAGGTTCACTGGCAGGTGTAGAGAATAGATTGAGAAGGGAAGTAAGGGTGGACGTAGAGATATTTGTTATTAAAAACCGCGCATCCTGCAGCCACTAAAAAGGCGGACTTCAAAGAGGATGATGACAGTAACTACATGGATCGATCGCATTTTGTGGTAAGCGTGATGAATATACCAGGCTGTAGAGAGGGTTTCTCAGGTATCATCTCCTTTAATTTTAGAACAGCCTGCAGAGAGCAGTGCTGTCACTGACCCTGAGGACTCAGGCCTGTGGAGAGGTGAATGCTTAATAAACATTTGCTTCGTAGGTCTTTTTTTAGTTGTAAAATATGTAAAACATAAAACTTACCATTTTAACTATGTTTAAGTGTAGCGTTAAGTGGCATTAAGTACATTCATATTGGTCGTGCAGCCATCACCACTCTCTATCTCCTGAATGCTCCTTAAGTCTTAATTGTTATTGGCATCCTAAACCGCGGGCCTAATTTCAGTCCCCTACTTTAGGCAGCGAGCTCCATTAAGGCAGTCGGTAACACTAAAAAACACCTCTCATGTGCCAGACAATGAATGAAATAGATGAGGTTTCTGTTCTCCCTGCTCTTCTAGTCAGGGGAGACTCTGATGACTGGGAAAGAAGCACCAGATAACTATTGCTGTCCTAAAACCAAAGATGCTCTTGAACTTACACACCTACCACTGCTGTCATTCTCTCAGTCATATATTCAGTAAATGTTTGTTGAATACCTACTTTGTGCCAGACACAGTAAGTATTACTGTTTGGTGAATGAATGGGTAGGCGTAGCTCCTTGACCCTGACTTCTCTTTTTCTCCAGAGGTCATCATCTGGGAGTGGTTGGAACTGTGCCTGACTCAGAGGTTTTGGACATGCTGGTCCATAGCTGTGTCACCTTAGATAAGTCCCTTTCCTTGGATGGGCCTCACTTTCCTGGACCTTGTAGTGGAGGATCCATATATTAAACAAATAGAAGACACTGTTAAGAGAGTGCATAACAGGCGTACTTAATTTAGAGAAGGGTGTCAGAGAAGGCCTCCCTGAAGAGGTGATATTTAAACTGAAACTGGATGGATGAGTAGGGGTTATCCAGGGGGAGGGGGAGGTGGGAGTGGAGCCAAGGAGAGGAATTCTCTACAGGGAGATCAGCATGTTCTAAGTTCTTTAAAGTTCCAGCTCTGTTAGAAATGGCATTGAGTGCTCACTCCAGAAATTCTCAAACCCAGCGCAGTCTTTCACAGGGCTCCAAATAGTCCTACACAGACCTGGCCTCTGGACTGAGAGGCAGACCCAGAATGGCAGGGGTTAGCAGAACTACTACCCCCTCCCTCTCCTGTTCGTGTTATGTGTTGACTGAGAGTAAACAAGAAGAGGGCCTTCAGGTCTCAGATTTTACTCCTTTATGCTTTTACTTTTTCTCTGGATTAAGAGGCATCGTGACAGAGTGGTCTTGAGGGGTTCAGGAGTGGTTGGAATCTCTGGGTGCGTTTGGGCAGGTTTAGCTATCTTTGCTAAGCCTCTGTGCCCTCTTCTCAAAAACAGGAATAATAATAGCTTTTACTTCATAGGATCATTCTGAAGACGTAGAAACTAAGGCATTTGCAATGTTCAGCAGAACTGGGTGTTTAGTAAGGAAAAATATTAGCTTGGATTATGCTTAGAATGTAAGTAAGAGTACAGTGGTTTGACATATAAAAATCTAGAAACTTTTGTATCTATATGGGTAACCTTAGTTTAATCAGAATTAGATGAGTTACTTTACTAGGAAGTTTTTAAAAAACCAAATAGACCAAATTCTCATTAAAACTGAAAGATAGCTTGTACCGTGGTAATTTCTAGCACTTTTGACTTACTGTAGGTGTGATCAGCGTTGGAAAAGATGCCTGCCCCAGCTACCACATATGAAAGAGTAGTTTACAAAAATCCATCTGAGTACCACTACATGAAAGTCTGCCTGTAAGTTCAGTTTCCTAAGTTCTTTTTTAGATTACTTTTTAAAAATGAGGCTGAATAGCATGAAATTTAATACAATGTCTTTTTTAATGTTATTTTACAGAGAATTTCAAGATCGTGGAGTTGGACTGAATGCTGCACAGTTTAAACAGCTGCTAATATCAGCCCTGAAGGACCTGTTCGGAGAGGTATGGAATCATTTGGTAGAGTGAACATTCCTAAGATCTTTGTAAATAATACAGAAAGAACACTTTCCAAACATTATTTTAAAACTATTTGAAATTGCAGAAGCAGACTTTCAGAAATGGTTAATTTTTGGTAGGTTTGTTCTAATATGCCTTCTACTTGACCAGGAACTTGTTAGACTAATGTTTGTTTTAGCACAATGGTACTCAAAGTATGATCTAGACTGGCAGACTGGTTTTTTGCCCATCTTGAAGAGATAAGGGGTTTGCACCAGAACCAACGTACCACCTCTTTTAGTGAAAAAGTCCCCTAATGAAAAAAAGGTGAGCTGAACTAAACAGTGTGCTTAGTGATATGTTGATTTACATTCTGAATTAACTCCTTATTTTATCACAGACCACTTTGAGCAGCTTTGTCCTAGCATCCACTGAGGACAGGGGTAGAGTGTTGGAAGTTAAGAGAGAACAAAGAGGATTCTCAGGAGATTATTTCCTGATTCATATAATCTGTCTAATCAAAATCTGCTAAGCACCTCATCAAAATTTAACTTTTACTCTGCAAAAGACTCTGTTAAGAGGATGAAAAGACAAATTACAGACTAGGGGAAAATATTTGCAAACCACATATCCGACAAAGGACTAATATCTAGAATATATAAAGAACTCTCAAGTCTTAATAGTAAAAAACCGAACAATCCAATTAGAAAGTGGGCAAAAAACCACAAACAGACATTTCACTAAAGAAGATGTACAGTTGATGAAGAAGCACATAAAAAGATGTTTAACAACGTTAGCCATTAGGGAAATGCACATTGATAACAAAATGTGCATTGGAATGAGATACTGTGCACCTAGAAGAATGACTGAAATAGAAAATAGTGATCACACTGAATACTGGGAAGGATGCAGAAAAACTGAATCACTTGTACACTGCAGTGGCTATGTAAAATGGTGCAGCCACTCTGGCACATAGTTTGGTGGTTTCTTAAAAAAAGTAAACATGCACCTGCCATACAACCCAGCATTAGCATTCTTGGGCATTTATCCCAGAGAAATGAAAATTTACATTCATGTACACAGATATTCATAGCAGCTTTACTTGTAATAACCAAAATGTGGAAACACCCCAGATATCCTTAACTGGATGAATAGTTAAACTGTGTTACATTCATACCATGGAATATAGAATATATTCAACAATAAAAAGGAAGGACCTGTTGATTTACACAACTTGAGTGAATCTCCAGAGAATTATGGGAAGTGAGAAAAGCTAATCCCAAAAGCTTACATACTGGGTGGTTACATTTGTATAATGCTCTTGAAATACTGTAATCATATAATCTGAAGAAAAACTCCTGTTGCCTGGGGTTAAGTTAGGGGTGGGGAAAGAGGAGTGGGTATGGCTATAAAGGGGTAGAACAAGGGTGTCTTGTGATGGTTCAGTTCCTTATCTGGATTGTGATAGTACTTGGCATGAAGCTACCTATGTGGTAAAATTATACATAGAACCACACACGCACACATAATGAGTGCGTGCATAGCTAGTAAAATCTGAATAAACTTTGGATTGTACCAACACTAGTTTCTGGTTTGATGCTGTACCATATAGTTATACAAGATGTTGACATATGGGGGAGGCTGGGTGAAGGGCGCATGGAACCTCCCTGTACATTTCTTTGCAATCTCCTATGAGTCTATAAATTTTCTAAATAAAAAGTTTTAAAAAATGTGTGTGCCTTCTATGTATAAAACCTTGTTCCTGGTGTTTTTATGGCCATTAACAAACATGGTCTCTGCCCATGAACTAATGGTCTTGGTGCTTGTAGTAGGAAAACATGTTAAACAATTAGTGATAAGGATGATGAGAGTTATGAAAGAGGAAGTATGGTGTCCTGTGTAGCAAGCAGATCGAGTCTAATCTTGGGGATCAAGGAAGGATCAATTTAAAATGAAGACTGGAAGGATGAGGAGGCATCAGCCATAGGAAAAGGTATAGGAAGAACATTCCAGGCAGGGGAGCTGTAAATAAGTAGGCAACTTAAAGGGCCAGCACCGTTAAATAAAATACTGCTTTTTGCAGAGGAGAAAAACTCAAAAAGAGTTGACAGGATTAGTAGAGTTCAAGAGTAATGGTGATGATAGTCTACTGATAGCATTATTCCATACGTAGGTTGATGCTGCCTTACCCTTGGACGTCCTAACCTATGAAGAGAAGACCTTGTCAGCCATCTTGAGAATATGTAGCAGGTATGACAGACAGTGGAACATTTCTACTATAACAGGACAGAGAGACTGGTGGAGAAATAGGACAAAAATGCTCTCTTCTGAGAATAAGAATAATTTCATCATTGTAAACTCTGAGCAGCTTTTAGGAGTTTAAACTGGGGTGGATATGAACATTCCACCAGAAACTTAGAGCAAAACTTGTGACTTGGTTACAACTGTGGAGTTTCCCAATTGATGGTTGTGGTTGCAAAGTCAGAAATGTATATTTTAGAAACATTCTTAGTTCATTTTTTTCTCTGCCTGTGACACACTATGCATTTTCTTGATCTTTCTGCAGTGGTCTTGTCAAATTGTGGAGTTCTTTGACCCTATTAGGATCCTATAAAGGCAAAAAATGTGCTTTCAGAGTGATTCAGGTAAAGACAATTCCTTCACATATTTAGATAAGACTGAGTAGTGGATCAATTGTTTCTTAATATAAGTGTCTCATTTTTGTGCTTGCCTAAATGTGGTATGGTTAACATTAGCTAGGGAAAAAATCCAGGATTTGATTATTTCCAAAAATGTGAGACAAAGCACTTAGATTTTAGGTTCTATGGGAGATGTTTCCGTATAAAACTTGCAACTCTTGTGATAAAGGCTTAACTTTTAATGCTTAATGCCAAGTGTATTATATGTATAGGAATGCTCTTTCTGAGCTTATGACTGACTACTTATTTACCTAAGGCTACCTCCCAGGATGCTTTTTAAAATGCTGCCGTGTCAGCTTTGCTCATCCTGTAAAACTGGGTACGTTTCCTCATTGCCTTGTATTTCAGTGCAATTTTCTCCCGATATTGTCTTAACCTTTTTCTTTCTCTTGTAGGTTTCTCCATTTCTCCTTGCATTATCTGGTAATAGTAGGGAACTAGTATTGGATTGAATAGCCTTCAATTTCAGAAACATTTCTCCGCTCTCAAAAGTATTTTTTGGTGCCTGCATGATGTTTGAAGATTGAAGCACGCCACAAGCCTCGTTGATGGAATTTGAGGGTGCTGAAGATGTTCCCCATAATTGCCAGCCATCGCCTTTGTTGGGGCGGGCTTCAGAGGAGAGTCTGCCTGAACCAGCCAGTGCTGAACAGGCAGCACTTTCAGCATATGCACATTAGAGTTGGAGACCGGGCTGAACTTAGCAGGGCCTTCACACAGAAGGATGTGGTTACTTTCTCAGAATTAACAGGGGATGTCAATCCTTTGCATTTAAGTGAAGATTTTGCAAAACACACCAAGTTTGGAAAGACAATTGTACATGGAGTTTTGATCAATGGACTCATCTCAGCTCTCCTGGGTACTAAAATGCCGGGACCAGGCTGTGTATTTCTTTCCCAGGAAATTAACTTTCCAGCCCCTTTATATATTGGAGAAGTTGTTTTAGCTTCTGCAGAAGTGAAAAAGCTGAAGCGGTTCATTGCTATTATTGCAGTGTCATGTTCTGTAATAGAAAGTAAAAAGACTGTTATGGAAGGCTGGGTTAAAGTTATGGTCCCAGAAATTCCCAAATCCTGAGATACGTGTTCAAAGATTCAAGTTCAAACACCAGTGCTGTTGTTATTGAAGAGTAGCTGGGGAATTGGGGATTGCTGCTCTTCACCAAGGAATGTCTGATGGCCCAGAAGCCTGTATTGGGGGTGGGGAACAGGTATAGGGATGTTCACATGTCCCCACTTTAATATGGCCTTATGCTTCACACGGACTTGAATATATGTAGGATTTCATCTGTCTAGGTTTCTTTAAATTCAAAAAGTATTGGGGAGGTTATTTATCTAAAGGTTTTACTTTTGGGATTTCAAATCTAGATAAATAGGCACTTGGATAACGAAAAACCTACGTGTATTTGTGTAGAGTCAGTTTCACTGACGATCTAGCATTTAATTATTGGAGACAACAACAGAAGTTGGGTCATCTTTGAATATCTACCCTTTACCAGTAAATATTAGACCCTGTTCTTCAGTTTCTGCGTCAGAGTTTATTATAATTTGTTACCGTTAACACCAGGGTGGCATCTTGCTCAACCTTCAATGGGCCTTACCTTTCAGGTAGTGTTCGTGTTATTGGAGAAGAGCTTATGCGCAGTCTTGGACTCAGCTATGTAAACTGTGTGTGGTCTGTAAATGATGATAACATACACCACACAAGGTTATTGTTGGAGACGATAGACACAGGGTTAAGCACAGGGCTGGGCCTGTAAACAATAGCTACTATTACTGCCCATTCCCCCTGTGACTGAGGTTAGCGGTTTGAAGTCGACTGGCCCACAGTTGAACAGATAACCAGTCTTTCAGTGTGTCAGCCAATCTGTATTAGTGTTCTTTTTTTTTTTTCTTGAGACAGAGTCTCTTTTCCCCGGGCTAGAGTGAGTGCCTTGGCGTCAGCCTAGCTCACAGCAACCTCAAACTCCTGGATTCAAGTGATCCTTCTGCCTCAGCCTCCCGAGTAGCTGGGATTACAGGCATGCGCCACGATGCCCGGCTAATTTTTTTTCTATATGTTTTTAGTTGTCTGATTAATTTCTTTCTATTTTTAGTAGAGACGGGGTCTCGCCTCTTGCTCAGTCTGGTTTCAAACTCCTGAGCTCAAACAATCCGCCCGCCTTGGCCTCCCAGAGTGCTAGGATTACAGACGTGAGCCACCACGCCCGGCCTGTGTTAGTGTTCTTGAATGCAAAGTTTCTATTTTAGGAGTCCAGATTCTTTTCTCCCTCCCTTTAAAATGTGGATCTACCTCCCATTTCTATAAAATATGCATACTGTAAAAAAATTGGAAGAAATAAAAAATGGAAGATAGTGCAGGCCAAGTTCTTAAGAGTTGGGAGGTATTGAAGGGGAAATGTGCCTAATGTGTTAGTATAAACGGTCATCGCCAGCACTCTTTTTTCTCATTTTTTAAATAATTATTGAGCCATACCATAAAATTCACCGTTTTAAAGTATACAATTCTCTTGTTTTTTTGTATATCCACAAAGTTGTACAACCATCACCAAATCAATTTTACATTTTCATCACCCCCAAAAGAAATCCCAGTAAGCAATCACTCTCCATTTCTCCTCATCTCTAGCTGTAGGTAATCACCAATGTAATTTCTGTCTTTATGAATTTCCCTGTTCCGGATATTTCATATAAATAGATCATAGAGTATGTGGTTTTTTGTAACTGCCTTCTTTTGCATAGCATAATGTTTTCAGGGTTCATCCATGATATAGCATATATCGGTACATCATTTCTTTTTATAGCTGGGTAATATTCCATTGTATGGATATAAAACATTGTATTTTCCCATCTATCGATTGACATTTGGATTATTTCCACTTTTTCACTGATATGAGTAACCCTAAGAACATTCTAGGAGAGGTTTTTGTGTGGACATTTTCATTTCTCTCTAGGAATGGAATTGCTGAGTCACGTGACTGTTTAACATTTTAAGAAATTGTCAAATTGTTTTTCAAAGTACTGTTGGGTATAAAGTGGTATCTCATTTTGGTTATGATTTGCATTTCTCTAATGTCAGCCAACGCTTTTAAGACAAGCATCTATAACAGAACATACAAGTGGTCTACCTGTGCTCTCTGGTTTAGCTAGCGGTGCTCACCACAGCTAGATGCTTTGAGTAAGAAGATAAGTTCAGGTGTTACTGCTTGGCTCAATCACACTTCCTGGAAAAGAGATTTTCTTCCTGCTAGTGGATAAGTAACTCGTTTTTTTTTTTATCTTTTATTTTGGGGGGATTTTTTTGTTTGTTTTTTTTGCAAGGGGACATTACTTGAACAGATTACTAGAAAGGATTATTCTACTCGCTAGAGGGCAGTGATGTGTATATAAAGTGAGTACTTTGAAACTGTTTAACATTGTACCATACTCTAGTTTGTGAAGGTGGGAAGAAAAGGTGAAAATTAACATAAGGAGCAAGGATGCTATTTTCAGGAGCCTTAGAATGGCAGCACGTGCAGGCTCAGATCCACCTAAAGAAGACTTACAGTGAATTGCTAGACATACTGAAAATATATGTAACTTCAGAACAAAATAGGGAACTTGAAGCACAGTATACGGACTGGAAGCCAAGACTGCTTGTTCCTGTAGAACTCATTCTCTGGGACTTAACAGCAGTCTGAAATTATGGGTCCATAAATGGGGTGTGATGTAATAATTAATAGCTACCATTTTTCAGTGCCTGATAAACTGGTTTTCTACATTAACTCTATTCCAACTTTGTGAAGTTAATGTCCTGTTTTATAAGTGAGGAAACAGACATGCTGTGTACCTTGTCTGTCAACGGAAAAAAAAGCTAAACTCTGCAAAATAATTTTGAAGAGATTTACTCTGAGCCAAATTTGAGACCATGACCCAGAGCCATGCCCAAGAAGCCTTGAGCAAGTGGACTTGCTATGGTTAGGTTACAGTTTGGTTTTATACATTTCAGGGAGACGAGTTACAGGTAAAGTCATAAATCAATACGTGGGAGGCATATACTGCTTTGGCTGAAAGAGATGGGCCATCTTGAAGGGGGAGGGAGGTTACAGGTTATAGGTGGGTTTAAAGATTCTTTGGCTTGTAATTGGTTAAAGACATGAAGCTTTGTCTAAAGGCTTGGAATGTTTTAACATAGGAGCTGTTTATCTGAAATGAGCCACTGGACATATATTTGTTGTGTAAATTGAGGACCTGCAGGTTTGTCTTGAATACCCTTAGCCCTGTTAATGGGTTACAAAGGATGTACCCAAGAAGGGAGGGACGCATGATAAGGCGTATCTGACCTCCTTGCTCCTGGCAGGCAATTTAGTTTTAGGATATTCCTTTGGCCACGAGGGGGTCCATAGCCGGTGGAGGGGGTGAGCCTTAAAATTTTATTTTAGTTCACATGCCCAAGTTTGTGCAGCTAACATGCAGTGCAGCTGGGATTCAAACTTGGGCCTGCCTGGCTTTTTCTATCACCCTATGGATTCTGTGTTCCTTTAGGAGCCAAGGGAAAATTTCCCTTTCTGCCCTCTGAATGATTTTTGAAAAATTAACTGACAGAAGGCAAATTAATTGGAGAAAAAGCATACAAATTTATTAATGTGCACACAGAGGAGAACTACAGAGTGATTACCCCCAAGCTCCTAAGGGGTTTAGAAGCTTATATACCATCTTGAGATTACAGAAAGAATGGGGGCTTGGATTGAGGTTATGAAAGGGGAAGATGAGGCCTGGCTAGCAAAGGTGGTCTTGTTACGTAAGTGAAACCTCACAGCTAGCAGCCCTCTAAGAGAATAGATGGTAAATGTTTCTTTCAGACCTTTAAAGGTGTCAGACTCAGTTAATCTTCCCTAGATCCGGAAAAGGGAGGGTCTGTCTACATAATGCAAATTCTCTACAGATGCAAATCTTCCCTGCAAAAGACAGCTTTGCCCTGCTACTTCTGTTTGCTGGCTTTCTGAACAGCCATCTCAAAATATGTCAAGGAAAGCTATTTAGGGGCGAAATATTTTTATTTCCTTCATTCCCACTACTAGAACTGGAGCACTGTCAGTTTCTATAGTAGCATCTTGTTATGTGACATTAAAGTAATTAGAATCATTCTATAGAAATCTTCTTACATTCAGAATGTTCTAGATCTTCACTGTTAGAGTTGTAGGATTTTCCTGTATACAATTAGTTGATGGCTTCCAGTCATGCACATCACCTACACTTTTTCTAAGTTGACAGTGTGATTATTTGTCTTCAGAGCAGACTTGCTAAAAGGGTTAGTCTAAATATAAAAGGTTATATGTGGGCCAAGTATGGGGTTGAGGAGGGATGTCAGATCTGGCTGATAGCTGGTTTATACTGTGTAACTTCCAAAAGTAGCTTCTCAATGTGAGCATTTCCAATTTTTTATACTCCCTAAGAGTCATGGTCTTTGATGTCTGTAAATCAATAAGAAGTTGGAACGGAAAAGTAGGTAAGAAGTTATTGATACTTCTCTTTGGATGATGACTTGTCTTTTCACCCAAAGCCAAGATTTTCAAACCACTCATGCTTTGTTAAACCTGACTGTTTGGCTTTCTCATTTTGAGTCCTATGCAAACTGCTCAAGAGTGACTCTAATGAAAGCTTGGGTGACCCTTAAATTAGAAAATGTCTCCCAGATAATTGAGAGGTGGCCTTGACTGTTCCAGGTCACGTGTGGGAGTACAAAAGTAGTGACTAAAATAGGCCAGATTGTCCTGGCACTTTCCACACAGGGGCGTTATAAGACTGCAATTTATGTGATAGTTGATTGCCACAGAAAGAAATACCCATTTTAAGCACCTTCAGCCTAATGTCCTGGAAAATTGCTTAACAGATTTTTATATTCTATTAGAAACATTTCCATAGTGGTGAAATGCCACTCATTTCTTTTTCTGAGCAGCAAATCTTGAGTAGCAACGGGGGAATGCCTTGTCACAGCCACCATTTGTCTTGTGGACCTGACGTGTGTATTCATCTAGAAAAAAGAAATCGCTAAATGCATACCCCAATACCTTTTAGGTAACCACAGGTTTTCATTTTGTGCTGAATTATTAGTCATTTTTCTTTTACGTTTTT